TTATATATATATATATATATATATATATATATATAAATGAATGAATATTTTAATAAAAAAAAGGAAGTTATCGGAAATGAGTTGACAGAACAGTGTTACAATCAGCACAGCAACTTTATAAAATCTGTAAAAGTTAAAATTGAATAATGTTGACATCAGCTCTGATGAAAGGAGCACTTACTAAACAAAAATTAATGGGATGGTGATGGGGAGGCCCATATTGTCTTCGCATAATAACAACTGAGTCGGCGTCATGCCCGGCACCCAGGCCATACCATCATATGTCTGGACCACCTACTACTCACTCACTCACTCCATCCTCCCCACTTAATTACCTCTTTACCCTCCTCCCCCAATTTTTCAAAATCCAACTAAATTCATAAATAATTTCCTCCTACAAAATTTATACATACAAATTTCAAAGAAATTTAAAAGAATAAAAAATACAAAATTTTAAACTTTAAAAATATTATAAAAGTATTTGCAAACTTGTTATATGCCGAAAAATCCATGACAATAGGGATATATTAACATCTTAGTATTGTATGAAAATTTAACATACAAACTGATAAAAAAGAAGATATCATAGAGAAGATATCATGAGTTTTTAGCAAGGACAAACATGTGATGGTGCTCTGCTTGCAGTGAGGCTCTTCAAAAGTGTTATTGCAACAAAAATATCAACGTGGTGGCAATAATATAACAACTGCTAGGAGATGACTACATCGGTCATGCGATTGCGACAGAGGCCAAACAGTAGTGGCAATGGCATTGCTATTGGTTGGGGTTCAACAACGATGGTGGTTGTGTGGCAGTGATCTAGGCAGTGGTCCAGCTACGGTGGTTCGAGGATGGAGACGATGGGTGACTGTGAGATAATGGCGACGGAAACATCACTAAATGGGCAACTTAGGTCAAATGATGGCTTGATTTCTCAATTTGCATCGATGTGCTGCAATGGTGGTGGTAATTAAGTGACCACAACTGTGGCTTGACAATGGCAACAGTGGTAGTAGCAATGCTGTCAATTGGGTGATGATATTTCAGTGACCAACATTTCATAAATAGTGGTTCGCATGGCGCCGACTGAGAGATGATGCCCAATGAAAGCACAGGTGTACCACAACAGTGGTGGCAACTAATGATAGTGATTCCACAACGATCACAATTTGTCAGTGTTAGGCCTCGAGAATCCTTAAGTGTTAGAGCTCTCTTAAGCCTTCCCATCCAAGTCAAATGCCCTTCATGAAAAGAGTGGTCTATTTATAGATTTTAAGAACCCGAGTGATTCCCTTAATAGTGATATTTTATGAGTAAATGTCTTAATGATATCAAAAACAACCAATCTTCTAACTCATTGGATTTATCTTTTTTTTTGTAAGAAACTACTTTTATCTATCCCATTTCAAGCATAACATACAAAAAAAATATTAATTTATATTTTTTAAAAATAATTCAAATTTTCCATCTTAAATTCTAGAAAAAAAAAAAAAAAAAAAAACACAGATAATACCAACTTCTAAATCTCAACTTTTTTAAGTGTAAAATATATAAATGCATAGTAATTTTGCAGCATGCTATGCTAATATAATAACATTCTATAAAACTACATGAAAATAAAGTGAAGCAAACAGGATGAGAAGAATTGAGAGAAGAAAAGCACCAAATTTATCTCTTAAGATTGAATTGCAAGCAGAAAAACATAAATAATAATAATAATAATAATTAAAACAAAAAAAAAAACATTTTACAGAACAAGGAGCCGACCGGCCAGTTTCTTTCTCAGCTTTTCTACAAATTCTGCTGCTTTAATGCTCACCATGCTTCCTCCCTCTGCCTTATCTCCTCAATCTTACAACTTTACCCCTTCTCTGAACCAGAAAAACTGTTACTTTACAGCCCCAGCAAGATGTAGTATACCAGCGTTATGGGCAGAGCAATTAGCATGCCAAATATAACCCTGCAGCAGGTACAAATGAAATATGACACTTTAAAATATCAAGCTTTTTGTGCTTTCCATTAAATTCTCCCAAAATCTGCATCAGTCTTATGCATATACATATTTAAGCTTTTACATACATATATACCATGCAATTCCGATGCATTCACAATAGCACCGAAGGATTATGAGTGTAAAATCAAACTGTGTATGTAAATACTTATAAATTGTTTGGTTTGAAGGTAAGAACTTACGCTGTGCTTAGAATGTCAGGGTGGACGCTGTACTCCTTCGCGAACACGAAAGGGACGATCCCCTGTGGCAGCGCCGCCTGCAAATATTCCGGATTAAACATATTTAAGACTTAATTGCATATCAGCATTATTGGATCACATAAAGTAAATATATAGATTTTCTTTTTTTTTTGAAAAGATAGTCTGAAGTATAATATAGGCATATATTCCTGATATTTGCTTACGCGAGGTCATGTCGGCGCAAATTCACAAGTATAATCCTCACAAGTATAGTCCGGACATAATATTTTCTCGGAATTAGAAAAATATACTCAATCATTATATCATAAGTAAGCGCACTTAGAACAAATTCACATGTATAATGATGTGATTGATTGGCCATCCGGACATGCAAACATAATATTTTTTCTTCACTGCACCACAGTGTGCTTAGTGCAAATTCACTTGGATAGAGTCGCAGCATCTAGTAGTTGGACGTAAGGACATCTGAACATAATATTTTCTCAGCGATCTTACAGTGAGAAATTACACACTCAATCGTTATGTCTTATGTTGATTTAGATGATGAGTTATTACTTGATATACAAAATATCTCTTATATATTTTTTTTAACTTAACTCAATCGTTATGTCTCAGCGATCTTACTATTGATTTCTCTCGCACGCAAAATGCCTTAAAATGAGTGAAAAAACATAGGGGACATTCAGCATGTTTTAAGGTTCTCATTCAAATCAGCCTCAGGACAGTTAAAAAAGAAATAGTTATTTTCATTTCATGACTCAACTTTCATAATACAATATTATTATAGCAATATTGAAATATAAATATTATACAAAATAAATATATGTTGAAAAATCTAAAACAGAGGGATGAGGACCACCCCCACTTCCAACTGTCTACAAGCAATAAATGAAGAAAATTTTTAGTCAAATATAATAATCATGCTTTTGCTAAAAAAAAAAAAATCAAATTTTGTTTAATAAAATCTTCAAATTATTGAATTTGTTTCAAGATAACTAAAATATATAAGAAGTTAATTAAGATGTAGGGGTTAGGGAAAATTATTTAACAATTTTTAAATTTATCTTGAGGAAATTCTTACTAATTAATTTTTTTCTTAAATGAGATCTAATTATTGTTTAACAAAAAATTGATGAGTTGGAATGGCTAATTTATATAAATAAATTGAAAAGCTCAATAGATAACCTGGACAATGGCCACGTGGAGGAGAACTCCGCGAAGGCCGACGGCAATGGAGGCCGCCGCCATTACAGCCGGTCCGGCGAGAAACCTGACTCCCATAGCAAAAGTCGCCACCTTGTTCCCACAAGCTATAATCCTTGGCTGCAGCGCCATGAACAACCCTGCATCCCCAATATCACCACCTTCAGTACTCTCTCTTTTCAAAGCGGCATAAAGACAAACATCTTGTGAGCACTATAATCTTACCCAGGCTGAACATCGCCATCCCCAGCCCGGCATCCGACAGTATGGAGATGGACCTTGCAACTATGGCAGGCATTTCAATACTCCATCTATAAAAAAAAAAAAAAATTGCAGCTTTTAAAATAAATAAAAAAAGAGAAAATTAGAAGGAGAAGATTAATTAAGCAAATGCTGAAAACCTGTAAGAGACCAACGACCAGACGACGCCTATGAGGCTGGAGTAGGTGTTTGGATTGCGGATGAGCTTTCTCCAAACCATTATCAAAATCAGTCTAGTCATCACGCTCGTCGGCGGCATCACCGTTCCGCGGCCATTGCCGGAGATGGTGGCGACGGCTGCGCCGACTTTGCCGTTCGGTTCCTGCAACTTCTCCTCGCCTCCGGCGTCGTGCCCGCCGTCAACCATTCCTCTGTTTCCGAAACTGAACTCATTGCGCTCCAAGAACTCGTCTTTTCGAGCTTCTCCTGGCATGGTTTGGATAGCGATTTAAATGAGAATGCAGCCGCTCTTCTTAATTGAAGTAGTACTTGAAAGGCATCAGAAGAGTTTTAGAAAGATTTGCAGGCTAATTTTTAATAGGGGGTTAAATGTATAAATAATAATAATTCTAATGATAAAATGTTTAAAATGTAATGATTATTTATTATTAAAATTACCTAAAAAGTAATAATAAATCTATAAATTAAAAAATAAATAATATGACAGCTTATTTTCTTTTTTTAATAATAAGATAGCAAGTTCCAAAGCTGTGATTTGGCTTGAATTTTATCTTAATTCTAAATTTGCTAAATTTAGTGGAAATTTTAAAGGATTTAATAAATATTCTCATTTAAGAAAAAGAAATCATAATATGTGCAAATTAATTACGAATGATATGGAGATAATATTGATGGTATTGATGCAATGCATCTCAATTCCAGGTACGCCTGGTGCACGTATTGTCTCGTTAGGGTTGCTTACCCTGTGGAGGAGAGACGGCGAGTCTAACTTCTTTTCCTGCACCGCCGGCGAAAACTTCAGAAACCGGCGACGCACTTGAGCTCCACACAAACATATGCAAGTCCTTCTTCCCTCCCGTCGCCGGAATCTGGTAATGCAACCGCGCCTTCCCACCGCCGCCGCCGCAATCCTCCTCAAAATTTGACGAGCGCGGCGTGCTCTGCCCCCTCGCCGCCGTCGTCCCCATCATTCCATACCCATCCCCCGCCGCAAAATTTGAACTTCTCCCCACCATCGAATAGAAATCCGCATGATTAAAACTGGACCCCCTCGGCGTCGGATTCCTGGACGACTGCAATGAGTAAATCTCCGCATTCGTCAGATTCGACGGCCTCGGCGTCGCCACTCCATTCCCCTGCGCCGACCTCCTGGAATACACATCAGACCTCGAAGCACTCGATCTCCTCACCGTCACATGCATCTTCCCATCTTCCTTCACCTCCGTTTCGGCTTCAATCTCCTTCCCGTCGAGCGACATCACATCGGAATCGACTGTAATAGAAACAATGGATCCGGCGGTGTCCGGAAACTGCTCTGCGATGAGCAACCTCGCTCCGCGGTACTCGAACATGAAGAGCATCAGAGTATACCAAATAATACATTGCAAGACGACGACTTGCACCATGAGACTGCCGGAGAAGTCGCCGTACATGCCTTTGAGTAAAGGGATGCCCATGACGAGGGTGTTGGGGAGGGTGGAGAGGGAGAAGAAGGTGATGGTCCATTCGAGGCTACCGTGACGGCTGAGAGTGGCCCAGAAGGTGAGGGCGGCGAGAACGATGAGTTTTTGGAGAGTGTCGGCGGCGATGAAACGGAGGTTCATGGAGAAGGGATTGTTGGAGGATATGAAGTGGAAGGAGAGGAGAGGGACGGCGAAAAGAGCGACGAAGCGGTTGATTCCGGAGCATTGATCGGGTGTGAAGATTTTCCACCATTTGACGGAAGAGTAAGCGAGGAGCATGGCGACGTAGAGAGGGACCATGGCGGTCATGACATGGTAAAAGTCGAGGGAGCTGATCATGGTAAATTTACTATCGTTTGATTGAACAAAGTTGGGTTGCTTTTTTCTTTTTGAGCAGGGCGGAGAAGGAGGGTGAGGGAGAGGAGAGTTGCGCGGAGAACGAGAAGAAAGAGGGGCTTTGGAGTTTCCCCTGTTGCTTTGCTCTGGTTTGTTTCTGTGGGGAGCGCGCGGGGTACGAGTGAAGGTGATAAGGATTCTGGTGCTTGGTTGGTTGGTTGTTTGTTCTATGAGGGCATCTGCGTTTTTGATTGGGGCTTTTGAATAGTTTAATGGGGGCTTTGCAGCTCACGCTTCAGAAGTCACAAGAAGCGAGAGGAGGCCATTTTTTAAAAGATGGAGCTTTGGTTAAAGGTAGGGGAAGTGGTGGGAGGCGAGGTGAAGCGTTAATTATATATTTTTTTAATTTAATTAAATTGATGGGAATAATCAATTTTTAAAAATTGAGGTGGATAACCATCATTTCTTATTTTAAATTTTTAATTAGAGTGATAAATTATCATCTCAGTATTGCATTAAAATTCAACACATACTTAAATAATAAAATTGATGAGTAGAAACATCATAAATTTTTACATGAAATATCTGGAAAGTGAGAAAATCAATGTGTCTGTCGAAATTGAAATAATCAACTATAAGTTAAAGATTACACATACACATCTGTCCCATAGACAAAAGATATTTCTCAAGTTATAATGATCGTGCATAGAAGAACTCGTTGCACCCCACTATGGGTCGAGCGAGAAGTTTTTGTACATTATTTTTTAGGTTGGCACAAAGTTTGTAATAATGCAATGCTCCTTAAGATGTTTCTTAACTCCGTGATGTCAATTTTTATTTCTCACTACTCAACACAAGTCTTGACTTTGAGTCAGAGGCACTCGACATTAGCAGACAGCTGGCGATTGACGGTGATTGTCAGATCTTCGGCGCAGAAGCGATATCAGATATCAACTTCTTCTTTAAGTTTTAATTTTTTTTTTTTTTTTTTGGCTCATGGTCTAGGTCCCTTTTTAAGAATGGGATGAGACTTTATTTATAGTGTGGGAGAGGTTTTTCTACATATAAAAAAAGATTTCAGACAACTCCATCAGACGACTCAGGGAGATTCTCTTAATCGGACAACGTTCAGTAAACATTTGAGTGCCTTAATGATGTCAGAATTGGGCAATCTTAGACTAGTTGGATTCATCTCGCCAACACGCTCGATCCAACCATAATTTTTTTAGATTTGGAATCTTTTTTACCTTCAATTATGCATTGAAAGCTCTCAAAAGTGGTTTAACAATTTGATCTGAGCTTGATTTGACTTGGATTGGACCAAGTTTGGTATCATTGGATTCTTCTCATCAAGTCAGCTAGTTTGACTAAAATTTTGTTGGAATCATGATTCTTGATGATTTTTAATTGATATTTGAATGTTCCTTGCTTAAAAATTATCTTGAGGTTTGTGTCATGCCCTAAGATTCATGTTGAATAATGTAAATTTTTTGATGTTGTGTCAATAACATTAATAATTTAATTTTTAAAATTTAATGAATAATTTTTTCATAAAAAAATTTTAAAGAGTGTTGAATCTGAAATTACTCGTGAATCACTACTCAGGAATAGAACTTAAACGAGAAGAGAGAGAGAGAGATACAAATAAAAGGATGGAGAGAGGGGGATGAATAATTATTGATAGTATTATTTCTTCATAAAATATTTCTCATATTTATATATGAGGTAGTACAATAGTGATGTTACATTTTTATTCCCATTTGTGGAGGGTTTGTGATCGAGTAATTTTTGATATTTTTCAAGCATGGGCTCATTGTTTGGTTACCTTCTAGCTCGCCCTGCTAAACTTAGCGAATTTGGCTTGACTAGGTCAGCTAAGGAGACTTAGTTCTGTTGGTAAAGTTTGGTCGGCTAATCCAACATGTTTAACTATCTTCGATCCTTGGTGAGGAGTCTTAGAGTTTACTTTGAGTGGTCCAAGATACTTTATGGAATTGATTCTTCTGATAAGTCAGCTCCATTGTGGGATAAACTATTGCATCGAGACGACTTTCTAGTAGCAGATGGCTTAGATGTTCTCTTGCCGCGCTTTCAGTCAGATGACTAACACTTAGATCACCCAATCCTCTTCTTTACTATCCTTCAATTCAATTGGTTTTGGCCTAGTTGATTTCATTAGTTCGATCAGGTGAACCTCATGATCTCCTTATAATTGATCTTTTCCCATCGCATTCTCCTCTTATGGATTATCAGATATCTTTAAGATCGATGCCGAGACATTTTTTATGTACAAAAAGTTGTGACTCTTTATGGAATTGATTCTTCTGATAAGTCAGCTCCACTGTGGGATAAACTATTGCATCGAGACGGCTTTCCAGTAGCGAATGACTCAGATGTTCTCTTGTCTCGCTTTCAGTCAGATGACTAACACCTAGATCACCCAATCTTCCTCTTTACTATCCTTCAATTCAATTGGTTCTGGCCTAGTTGATTTCATTAGTTCGATCAGGTGAACCTCATGATCTCCTTATAATTGATCTTTCCCCATCGCACTCTCCTCTTATGGATTATCAAATATCTTAAAGATCGATGCCGACACATTTTTTATGTACAAAAAGTTGTGATATTTATGCACTTATTTTTCCATAAAAAAATGTGAATCAAAGTTCCAAACTGAATATATTATGAAAAAAATAAGCTTCTTAAGTTTTATTTTCAATTAAATTTAACATAAGCATAATTAATTATTTTTCTTAAGATGTCCTACTCATTTATTTATTCCCTGGTCACTCTCCACCTATCATCCTTTTATTCTAAATGCAATCATTATCTGCAAGTATATATCTATTATTCTCTGATATATAATATGATTAGGAAGTATGCTTTGAATTTTTTTCCTCTTAAACTAATTCATAATAAATTATA